TCTTATTGTCATTTACTGATGTTTATCTATGGAACGCCACAGCTGTCTTATGTGGTAATCTGATATTACGTTATGTTGTTTTATTATTACTTGATGATATTTTGTCTTTATATAACATGGTTTTCACATTACGTAATGATTTTTTGATATAACTCAATATGGAATAGTCATTACTAAATGATATTTCGATTTTACGTGATATGGTTTCGTATTGGCTTCATATGGTTTTTTCATTACTTTATATGGTTTTGTCATAACTCGATGTGATTTCATCATTATTTAATGTGGTTGTGTCTTTGGCAATTTGGTTTTAACATTACTTGATGTGTATGTGGCTTAACGTTATGTATTTGTTTCATTACATGATGTGGTTTTGTTATTTCGTAATGATTTGCCAATTATTCATATGGATTTAACATTACATAATGATGGTTCAAAATTTGACGATTTTACACTACATGATGTGTTTGTTCCTGTATTTGATGTGGTTCTGTCATTCTTTGATGTGGTTATCACATTACTTGATGAGGTAAAGCCACGTGACCATTTTGGAAAAAAATATTTCTATTTTTAGATCGATTTCCATATGTCGTTTGTTTAATGTGCTTCGGATGAGTGTCTCTATCCATTGAGTTAAAGTTCAAATTTAAGTTCGAGTTGTTGTTCAGAGTTATTTGGTATGAAAAGGGGAACGGCAGACAAAAATAAGAAAAAAAGTACAAAAAATATCAATATTTCGGACATAAGGGGGATATAAGCAGTAAATTCATGAAGAATTCCACGGAACCTTGTGTCTGGCCTGAGATTGCTACTGTCATTGTAAAAGTGTAATGTTGACTGTAAAACTATACAAGTTTTATAACAATTCATGGAGGTTTACAAATTTATCATGACAAAAACGTTTAATTTGGTAATATTTAATGCAAATAAAACTTATATAAAAATAAGAAGATGTGGTATGATTGCCAATGAGACAACTCTCCACCACATACCAAATGACGTAGCAGTAAAAGCTATATGTCACTGTATGGTCTTCAACAATGAGCAAAACCCATACCGCATAGTTAGCTATAACAGGTCCAGAAATGACAAATTTAAAAACAATTCAAACGAACGAGTAATCTAACGATCTAAATGATGAAGACGCCGACGACGGTATATAGGTTTGTTGTGTCTCACTTCCGCGACATTAATATCGCAGGCTGGACACACATCAAATGACTTGTACTTTATTGTCAACAAATGAGACACTTTAAATCCACTCACACTAAAGTTACAGGGAAATGGGGGGGGATCGGACTGAGCGACAAAGCATCAATTCTATAAAATAAATTTTCTCCGATTTATTTTTTTGCGTGTATTATCATTTGAACATATACGAATATCAATCTTTTAATATATGTTTTTATAAATTCCATTCTCCGATATACCTCGCACTAAATTGAAAAAAAAAAACCTAAACTTATTGGAATATCTGTTTCACAGGTGACGACGGATATGTTCCAGTTGTCGTAACCACAATCTCGTCCTCTTTTCCTCGAATGTGACCTACCGAATTCGACCAAATCACTGGGTTTGTACCTTCACGAATAAAACGACGGGTGCCACACGTTGAGCAGGATTTGTTTACTCTTCCGGAACACCCGAGATCACCCCAGGATTTTGATGGATTTATATTGCCCAGTGAAACCGATCTATAGAGTTAAGCCAATTGCATCTGATTTTTACAGTTTATTCTTGTATTGTGCTGTTACACTATTCACCCATGGTATGGTTAGGGTTTAGCGCTCACAGACATGTTTAACTCCGCCACGTGCACATTCTTTATGTGCCTGTCCCAAGTCAGGATCATGTAATTCAATGGTTGTCGTTGTTTCATGTGTGTCATATTTGTTTTTTCGTAAGTTGTTTAGTTATTAGTTACGGGTGCCTACAATTGCTTACATCCTTTGCATTAAAACTCTGTTGGATAGTTGTCTCATTGACAATTACACCACATCTAACTTTATTTCGATTCTATGTGTAGTTTTGTATACTGTAACATTGTTTATCTTTTGCACGCATACCCCTTAACCCTTTTTTCAGAGGTCAGTGCAAAAGCCCTTGATCCGCGATAGAAAAAAATTAAATACGAACTCATATTAGATAACTCCAATTTCAACTCGAAATCTTAATCTAAATGAGACTCAAATTCGAAGTCTAACTCGAACTCTACCTCAAAAGGTAACTTAAACTCGAAGTTCAACTCGAAACTCAATGCTTACTCAAACTTTAATTCTAATTTTGACTTGAATTCTAACTCGAAATCGAAAAATACTCTAAGTTTAAATCGAAAACTAACTCGAAGTTTAATTCGAACAGTAACCCGAACTTTAATTTGAACTCTAACTCGATGGATTGCCACACTCATCCGAGGCAAATAAAACATGGAATTCGGTTTTAAAAATAGAACTAGTTTTTCCCAAATAGTCACGTGGTTTTACCTCATCAAGTAATGTGATAACCACATCAAAGAATGACAGAACCACATCAAATACTGGAACGAACACATCATGAAGTGTAAAATCGTCAAATTTTGAAACATCATTATGTAATTTAAAAGCCATATAAGGAATTGGCAAATCATCATTACGAAATAACAAAACCACATCATGTAATGAAACAACTACATTACGTTAAGCCACATACACATCAAGTAATGTTAAAACCACATTGCCTACTAACACAACCACATTAAATAACGATGAAATCACATCGAGTAATGACAAAACCATATCAAGTCCATACGAAACCATATCATGTAATATCGAAATATCATTAAGTAATGACTATTCCATATTGAGTAATATCAAAACATCATTACGTAATGTCAAATCCATGTTATGTAAAGACAAAATTACATCAAGTTATAATAATACAACATGACGTAATATCAGAGTTCCACATAAGACAGCTGTGGCGTTCCACATTTATCAGTTAATTTTAATTTAGTTGATTATGTCAAACGGGATGTTGCCTACTTTGAAGTTTCTTCTTATATTCGTCAACTATGTCATTTTGATTTAAAATGTATAAAGATATGTGAAGGCAGCTTTACACAAATACAAAACGATACAGATAAAATAAAAAAGGATCAACCACAGGATGAATTATTAAATGATATTGGACATCGATAAGAGGAGATTCTGATTGATCGGACGTCGTTTTAATAATACATGACGTAACTTTGGACGTCAATTAGAGGGCAAACATATTAGACACTGAATTCAGAAGGTGACTTTACATTGGACGTCGATTTGAGGAACGGACGTCGATAAGAGACCGGACGTCTAACATATATAATGAGTATGTGATGTTAGAAACATGCATATATACATTTGTAGCTCATACTAACTGATGGAAACACTGCAAAAAGTAAAATAAGTAACGAGAGCAAGAAAACATATATACTTGTTAATTAAATACATCTTAAAGAAAGTCAATTTATTTTTCAATAATTAGAATAATGGTGTAAACATGGAAGCAAAAAAGGCTTAGTCATGTCAGTAACAAAGAGACTCCTTCTAAGAAACCATTTATATTTTAAGTTTGTAAGAGAAGTCTGGTCCCGATAACCTTGATTCTTGTTTGCAGATGTTCCTCATGCCTAATTTGGTAAGCCATCTTTGCTAGTCCATGCCTCGATTCTTTCACGAAAAGGGGGGAGGGGGGAGTTGGTAGATCATCAACAATGCGCATTCGTTTGCCAGACAAATTATAACCTTACTATACAATATTTTTATTCGTTTGCTTTCGTTTTTGTTTTTGTCTCTTGCTTTTCCTTATCATTATCATTTGGTCATGCATTACTGAATTAAATCATGCCTTTCTATATTGCAGCCAATTTCTGCAAAGTTTAAACCTTGACATTGACTGAAAATTGGTCACTCCATGGAAGTTACTAATTATACATTTACTCCCTTTCAATCATTGGTGCATGATGAACATTCTGAATGCATACAAATAACAGAATATCAATTTATATTTAATTGCGTATCAGAGTTAGATTGAACAAACTATTCTTCTTTATCTTTTAAAATTTTGACAAAAATCGTGTCTGGTCAATCCACGTGACATATAATATTTTATAATTACAAAAACTGTAAAAAAGAATGTTGTTTCTATACCTTACTTGTCATATGTTTTGCAGGGTATTGCAGTCAATTTCACATCATTTCAAGTGTTGTTATTTTATTCAGTTTTTTTGTGTGTGCACTATTTGCCCATAAAACCAAAAGTGACGTTGTTTGGTTGTATTGAACATGATTGATTGTGCAAGCTATACATCGAATGCTGAATTTTAGAAGGCGTCAATGGCTGATTACTGAATATCTTACCTTGATTGTGTATTTAAAAAAAGAAATAATGTTTTATTATGAAAAAAAATGAAAGGCTCATAGTGGCCTACGTATATGTATTACAAACGAGTTCATAAAAATTCCATACATTCTTAAACATTCAATTCCAAAATTTCACCTAAATCATATACTTTTCGTAAAATGTTTCCCCGAAATATCATTGGGGAGGGGGGATAACTAAGCACATATACGAATTTATCGTCTAAAAATTTAAATCATATTTGAATACGTTGGATTCCTATGGTGTCACTTGTAACATATTTGATGAGAAATGTAAATTTATATTTTATGTCCAATGGGGAAATAACAGTTATATAATATTGTAACCAGATTCACAGATAAATGGATAGAACACTAAACTGCTTACTAAGGCGTATCAACAACTAAACTATAACAATTTTTATTACAAGTTATTTGCGAATTTCCCTGATGTACAAGGACAGGAATATATAACCAATTCCTGGTGAATTCACTCATGTGCATCAAACCAAAACATATCGTATTCAATATCGGGAAGCTGATTGTATAATATGTTTTTTGTAGCAACAAGGGATGATAAAGATGATAAAGAGTCCATAGTTAGCTAGAACAACTTAATTTAATATGAAAACGAAGACTTGTGTGGTTAACCCAGTTTTTATCAACGACTGCAACAATGCCCGCGTCAAGATTCATGTGAAAGCATTTGAACACAAACAGTCAACAACTATTTCATGTCATGATATCATATATAGAGTGGATGTCAAAACCAAACTATGTCCAAGGAAGATAGAAACAAGGGAAATACTGAAAGGAATTGAGTAAGTCCTGCCTTTTTTATAGAATGTATTCAATTTATAAGAACAAAAAAAGTAAATTCATATGTTCACTTTTATCGATATTTTTTGGTTATTTTTTTGGAAAATTTCAATTGAATGCAAAAATACCCATGAAAGTTTTTCTTCTTATATCCTGTTGTGTATTAATTTTATCCAGATAAGCAACGTCACAGACCTTCTCATTAATTCAAATGACTTGGAGTAATAAGTTTACGAAATATTATATTAAATAATCTTTTATCTACTACTTTATAAGCATTATGTTTGCTATATCAAAACTAATATCGGACTTGAATATTTAGTGTATCAACCTTTGAGCTCTATGTTTCCTAGAATGAAATGAGGTTCAAATCAAGAAAATGTTGTCAACTTTTACCAAAATGTTCTTGTTTTGCTTTGCCTATTTGGGTGTAAATGTCAAAAACAAACAAAAAAACAAAATTGTTTCATTTTTTTATATGTCTTTTCATCCAGTTGACATTATTTTCATCTTGAAACAATGGGCTTAATTTTTTCGGAGCCAAATAGGGCCCTTATCGAACATTCTCATAAGTTTCTTAAATAAAGCATTGCACGTTGATAATATTTCATATATGATTAAAACAGATGATGGGTGTAAATGAGACAATTACTCGAATCACAATGATATGAAAGCAAGTATTGTTGAAAACATCGTATCGGTGGTTCTTTTTGAAGTTTATACATTTACTGTGACTCATGATGGATTGCTCAATCTTTTAATTATCAAGGGAAAAACATAAATATCTCAGAACTTTATCTTCAGACATATTTATTTGCAAAAGATTTTTTTTCCTCGATAACTTCGTAAAGATTAATGAAACTCTAATTTCAAGGAAACCAAACATGTTTTGTCTAACACATAATGTAAAAATTCATATCTGAATAAAAAGAAAGTGCTTTGTTTATTCTAGTGGAGTTTTCAAGGCTGGTATGAATGCTATATTGGGACCAACTGGCTGTGGAAAATCTTCGTAAGTTCTCTGAAAGAAAGATTTTTCAACATTTGACAAAAAGCGCTTTAACCTTTTATACAGTCTATGATATTACATTATGTGACCTGATTTTTTAGTCGCTTCTCTTTATATATATATTTCTTGAAATCCTTGCTAAATGAATCAGCATGACCTGTGCCCTGAAGCTAGCATGTTGGGTGCAGTTTTTTAACCCAACTTTTCATTGTTTAGTTTGAAATATCTTGGGAAGAAAAAAGAGGGGGAAAAGGTAAAATAGCAAAAATATCGAACACCAAGGGAAATTCAAAACGGAAAGTCCTTAAGAAAATGGCAAAATTGAAAGCTCGAACACATCAAACGAATGGAAAACAACTGTCATATTCCTGGCTTGGTACAGGTATTATGTAAAAAATGGTGGATTAAACCCGGTTTTTTAGCTAGCTCAACCTATCACTTGTATGACAGTCGCATAAAAATCCATTATAATGACAACAATATGTGAACAAAACAAACAGACATAATAGGTATAAATGTCAAAAATTAGGGGACAGCAGTCAAGATTGTAATATAATATTAATCACTATAAAAAAGAGTCCATAGTTAGCTAGAACAACTTAATTTAATATGAAAACGAAGACTTGTGTGGTTAACCCAGTTTTTATCAACGACTGCAACAATGCCCGCGTCAAGATTCATGTGAAAGCATTTGAACACAAACAGTCAACAACTATTTCATGTCATGATATCATATATAGAGTGGATGTCTAAACCAAACTATGTCCAAGGAACATAGAAACAAGGGAAATACTGAATGGAATTGAGTAAGTCCTGCCTTTTTTATAGAATGTATTCAATTTATAAGAATAAAAAGTATATTCAAATGTTCACTTTGATCGATATTTTTGGTTATTTTTTTGGGAAAATTTCAATTGAATGCAAAAATACCCATGGAAGTTTTTCTTCTTATATCCTGTTGTATATTGATTTTATCCAGATAAGCAACGTCACAGACCTTCTCATTAATTTAAAATGACTTAGAGTAATAAGTTTACGAAAAATTATATTAAATAATCTTTTTTCTACTACTTTATAAGCATTATGTTGGCTATATCAAAACTAAGATCGGACTTGAATATTTAGTGTATCAACCTTTGAGCTCTATGTTTCCTAGAATAAAATGAGGTTAAAATCAAGAAGATGTTGTCAACTCTTACCAAAATGTTCTTGTTTTGCTTTGCCTATTTGGGTGTAAATGTCAAAAACAAACAAAAAAACAAAATTGTTTCATTTTTTTATATGTCTTTTCATCCAGTTGACATAATTTTCATCTTGAAACAATGGGTTTAATGTTCGGAGCCAAATAGGGCCCTTATCGAACATTCTCATAAGTTTCTTAAATAAAACATTACACGTTGATAATATTTCATATATGAATAAAACAGATGATGGGTGTAATGGAGACAATTACTCGAATCACAATGAAATGAAAGCAAGTATTGTTGAAAACATTGTATCGGTGGTTCTTTTTAAAGGTTATACATTTACAGTGACTCATGATGGATTGCTCAATATTTTAATTATCAAGGGAAAAACTTAAATATCTCAGAACTTTATCTGAAGTCATATTTATTTGCAAAAGATTTTTTTTTCTCGATAACTTCATAAAGATTAATGAATCTCTAATTTCAAAGAAACCAAACATGTTTTGTCTAACACATAATGTAAAAATTCATATCTAAATAAAAAGATATGTATTCCTGTCCTTGTACATCTGGGACATTCGCAAATAGCTTGTAATAAAAATTGTTATAGTTTAGTTGTTGATACGCCTTAGTAAGCAGTTTAGTGTTCTATCCATTTATCTGTAAATCTGGATACAATATTATATAACTGTTATTTCCCCATTGGACATAAAATATAAATTTACATTTCTCATAAAATATGTTACAGGTGACACCATAGGAATCCAACTTTTTCAAATATGATTTATAAATTTTTAGACGATAAATTCGTATACGTGCTTAGTTATCCCCCCTCCCCAATGATATTTCGTGGAAACGTTTTACGAAAAGTATATGGTTTAGGTGAAATTTTGGAATTGAATGTTTAAGAATGTATGGAATTTTTATGAACTCGTTTGTAATATATATACGTAGGCCACTATGAGCCATTCATTTTTTTCATAATAAAACATTATGTGACCTGATTTTTTAATCGCTTCTCTTTATATATATATTTCTTAACATCCTTGCTAAATGAATCGACATGACATGTGCCCTGAAGCTAGCATGTTGGGTGCAGTTTTTTAACCCAACTTTTCATTGTTTAGTTTGAAATATCTGGGGAAGAAAAAAGAGGGGGAAAAGGTAAAATAGCAAAAATATCGAACACCAAGGGAAATTCAAAACGGAAAGTCCTTAAGAAAATGGCAAAATTAAAAGCTCGAACACATCAAACGAATGGAAAATAACTTTCATAATCCAGACTTGGTACAGGCATTATGTAGAAAATGGTGGAATAAACCCGGATGTATAGCTATCTAAACCTATCACTTGTATGACAGTCGCATAAAATTCCATTATATTGACAACAATATGTAAACAAAACAAACAGACAAAATAGGTATAAATGTCAAAAATTAGGGGAAAGCAGTCAACATTGTAATATAATATCAATCACTATAAAAACAAAGAAAAACAAAATGGCATATAGACACTCTATAGACAAAGTACATAAGGACAGCACTAAAGATAATAAGTCGAAGAACGAATAACAATACAATGGCCAGACAAAAAGACGAAAAGAAAGACAAACAACAATCTACAAAATACTACGCAGAAAATTAGAGACTGAGCAACATAAAAAAGCGGGGATGAACTCAGCTGCTCTGAACGGTAAGCAGATTCTATTCCAGTAGTAGTACCCGTCGTATTAACTTAGCAATAATACAGTTATAGGACAAACCCCAAATTTCATCCTCAGATTAAGGAGATATCAAATTTCACAATTGATTGATGTTAATTAATCCATTCAACATATTACAACCTCTTATCAGACTCCCTGCTGGTAATGATAAGAAAGTCAGATGAATGGGCATGAAACTTTAGTCTGTGACCATGGTAATCAGACCACTGACCATAGGAAAAAATAGATTAAATCGGAAACAATTATTAGTGTATAATTCAGAATTTGTAGAAGAACACTATTTTATAGGACCTTATAGAGTGAAATATGTTCCAGGAATACAACATATGTGTTTATAATATATATATTTTTAATGAGTTCTTTGTATTTGAAATAATTAGTTACAGAAATGAATTATTAAATTAAAAGTGACACAAGCATATCAGTTGACCCTAGACTGTATCTATATGTTTATCAAACAAAAATAGTTCTAATCATCAGTAAAATACAGAAAAGTTAAGATAAACGTTTTTCTTAAGTTGCCATTTTTGGTCATGATGAAACTTATGTCCCTGTTTGTAAAATTTCATAACGTTATTGATTTCTGGAAACTTTAACCCTAGACTAAATCTAAATATTAACTTGAAAAATGCCGTATCAGTACAGTAAGGAAAATTGATACACATATTTTAAATTCAAATCATTCAATGATGCTTCGACAAAGTTATAGATGTCTAAAAAAAAAACTAAAACCTCAGACTGTATCTAAATAAACTCATCATAGATACCAGGCACCAAATTTTGAACATCGGACGCACGTTTCGTCTACAAAAAACTCATCAGTGACAATCGAATCATAAAACATACAAGGCCAAAATAAAGTACGAAGATGAAGAGTATTTGGGACCCAAAATTCCAAAAGGTTTTTCCAAATACAATTAAGGTAATCTATTTCTGGAATAAATTATTAATATTTAGAAAAATTCAAAGTTTTGTAAACATTTAATATACAATAATTTAATTTTGGATGTAACGCGTCTGCTGATTGGCTGACGTTGTTTTGTTTATCAGCTCATAGACATAATTTAGTCATGTGACCGTGACGTCATCAACGTTTTTTCATTGTTTACTCCGGTTTAAAATGGAATTTAGAATTAAATTATAAGAAATAACTGTAATATGTTATCTGTCTATTCGAAATACCATAAAAAATGTGATGCACACTTTAAAATAACCCGCTACGCGGGTTATTCGGTGTGCATCACATTTTTGGTGTTATTTCTTCATAGACAGAAAAAATATTACAGTTATTCCTTAAATAACATTAGTGCAAAAAAAACAACTTATAACAGTAAAATATTGAAAAAAGAAAGATAATAATTCTCTGGATGCTGTCATTGTATAGAATAAGCATTTGTCAGTTAAACAAAATTCAAATTCCGTGGAGGTTTAACAAAAATGTTGACTTTTTAAAAAAGAAAATAACAAAAGAATGATCCTAAATGTTGAAGACACGATTAGAGAAGGATTAATTTAGGTTCAACAATATTCAATATTTCAAAAAGTGCACAAATTACAATTATACAATAGACACCATTATTTAGAGAATATATTTTCAAAATGTGCCTGTGGTACGAGAACATTAAATTCGATTACTTCTCAAGTTTCATTCCAGTACACAAAAATATATTTTTGAAAATAAGTTTTCGGGTAATTTTTGAAAAATCAGTCATCTCTCATTTATATTTATATTGCAGATTTAGATATATGCTTTGTTAATGTTCTAGCTATTTTACTGAAGAAACCCAAAATCTGGCATTTGTTCTACAACTGAGTACAAAAGGGATAAGAAAAAATCGATGATATATCTATTCGCTGCTGTCATAATTGGGGAAAAGAGGGTAGGATTGTGGCTACGACATTTGCAACTTATCCGTGGTCAAGTGTGACACGAATATTTTATAACAGTCGACCCATAGCTTCCGAGTAAGCAGTAACGTCGATCGAGGATACCAGAACAGGGAACTCTGAGATATAAACTCCGAATGCACGCGCTTCTTGTATGTTGCTACACAGAAATGGAAAGTTCAAAATTGAAAAGATGAAATCATATC